ACTTCAATCAGTGTAGATGAAGGGGAGGAGACCTGTAAAAAAAAAATGTTCAAGCCTCGAGACAATTGTGCCATCCAGAAGGTGAATGGGCAAGAAAATATTTAAGTGCCTTTGAACGGGGTATGGTAGTAGGTGCCAGGCACACCGGTTTGAGTGTCAAGAACTGTAACGTTGCTGGGTTTTTCACGCTCAACAGTTTACCGTGTGTATCAAGAATGGTCCACCACCCAAAAGGACATCCAGCCAACTTGACACAACTGTGGGAAGCATTGGAGTCCACATGTGCCAGCATCCCTGTGGAAGGCTTTCGACACCTTGTAGAGTCCATGCCCCGACGAATTGAGACTGTTTGGAGATTCTTCAAAGTAGCCACCCTTTGCCTTGATGACAGCTTTGCACATTCATGGCATTCTCTCAACCAGCTTCATGAGGTAGTCACCTGGAATGCATTTCAATTAACAGGTGTGCCTTCTTAAAAGTTAATTTGTGGAATTCCTTTCCTTCTTAATGCGTTTGAGCCAATCAGTTGTGTTGTGACAAGGTAAGGGGGGTATACAGAAGATAGCCCTATTTGGTAAAAGACCAAGTCCATATTATGGCAAGAACAGCTCAAATATGCAAAGAGAAACGACAGTCCATTATGACTTTAAGACATGAAGGTCAGTCAATACGGAAAATGTCAAGAAGTTTGAAAGTTTCTTCAAGTGCAGTCGCAAAAACCATCAAGCGCTATGATGAAACTGAATCTCATTAGGACCACCACAGGAAAGGAAGACCCAGAGTTACCTCTGCCGCAGAGGATAAGTTCATTAGCGTTACCAGCCTAAGATTGCAGCCCAAATAAACGCTTCACAGATTAAGTAACAGACACATCTCAACATCAACTGTTCAGAGGAGACTGTGTGAATCAGGCCTTCATGGTCGAATTGCTGCAAAGAAACCGCTACTAAAGGACGCCAATAAGAAGAGGAGATTTGCTTGGGCCAAGAAACACGAGCAATGGACAATAGACCGGTGGAAATCTGTCCTTTGGTCTGTCCTTGAGTCCATATTAGAGATTTTTGGTTCCAACCGCCGTGTCTTTCTGAGACGCAGAGTAAGTGAACAGATGATCTCCGCACGCGTGGTTCCAACCGTGAAGCATTGAGGAGGAGGTGTGATGGTGCTTTGCTAGTGACACTGTCTGTGAGTTATTTAGAATTCAAGGCACACTTAACCAGCATGGCTAACACGGCATTCTGCAGCAATACGCCATCCCATCTCGTTTGCGCTTAGTGGGACTATCATTTGTTTTTCAACAGAACAACAACCCAAAACACCCCTCCAGGCTGTGTAAGGGCTATTTGAACAAGAAGGAGAGTGATGGAGTGCTGCATCAGATGACCTGGCCTCCACAATCACCCAACCTCAACCCAGTTGAGATGGTTAGGGATGAGTTGGACCGCAGAGTGAAGGAAAAGCAGCCAACAAGTGCTCAGCATATGTGGGAACTCCTTTAAGACTGTTGGAAAAGCATTCCAGGTGAAGCCGGTTGAGAGAATGCCAAGAGTGTGCAAAGCTGTCATCAAGGCAAAGGGTGGCTACTTTGAATAATTTGTTTAACACTTTTTTGGTTACTACATGATTCCATATGAGTTATTTCATAGTTTTGATGTCTTCACTATTATTCTACGATGTAGAAAATAGTACAAATAAAGACAAACCCTTGAATGAGTAGGTGTGTCCAAACTTTTGACTGGTACTGTATATATATACACACATACAGTGAGGGAAAAAAGTATTTGATCCCCTGCTGATTTTGTACGTTCGCCCACTGACAAAGAAATGATCAGTCTATAATTTTAATGGTAGGTTTATTTGAACAGTGAGAGACAGAATAACAACAACAAAAATCCAGAAAAACACATGTAAAAAAAATTATAAATTGATTTGCATTTTAATGAGGGAAATAAGTATTTGACCCCTCTGCAAAACATGACTTAGTACTTGGTGGCAAAACCCTTGTTGGCAATCACAGAGATCAGACGTTTCTTGTAGTTGGCCACCAGGTTTGCACACATCTCAGGAGGGATTTTGTTCCACTCCTCTTTGCAGATCTTCTCCAAGTCATTAAGGTTTCGAGGCTGACGTTCAGCTCTAACCTTCAGCTCCCTCCACAGATTTTCTATGGGATTAAGGTCTGGAGACTGGCTAGGCCACTCCAGGACCTTAATGTGCTTCTTCTTGAGCCACTCCTTTGTTGCCTTGGCCGTGTGTTTTGGGTAATTGTCATGCTGGAATACCCATCCACGACCCATTTTCAATGCCCTGGCTGAGGGAAGGAGGTTCTCACCCAAGATTTGACGGTACATGGCGCCGTCCATCGTCCCTTTGATGCGGTGAAGTTGTCCTGTCCCCTTAGCAGAAAAACACCCCCAAAGCATAATGTTTCCACCTCCATGTTTGATGGTGTTCTTGGGGTCATAGGCAGCATTCCTCCTCCTCCAAACACGGCGAGTTGAGTTGATGCCAAAGAGCTCGATTTTGGTCTCATCTGACCACAACACTTTCACACAGTTCTCCTCTGAATCATTCAGATGTTCATTGGCAAACTTCAGACGGCCCTGTATATGTGCTTTCTTGAGCAGGGGGACCTTGCGGGCGCTGCAGGATTTCAGTCCTTCACGGAGTAGTGTGTTACCAATTGTTTTCTTGGTGACTATGGTCCCAGCTGCCTTGAAATAATTGACAAGATCCTCCCGTGTAGTACTGGGCTGATTCCTCACCGTTCTCATGATCATTGCAACTCCACGAGGTGAGATCTTGCATGGAGCCCCAGGCCGAGGGAAATTGACAGTTATTTTGTGTTTCTTCCATTTGCGAATAATCGCACCAACTGTTGTCACCTTCTCACCAAGCTGCTTGGTGATGGTCTTGTAGCCCATTCCAGCCTTGCGTAGGTCTACAATCTTGTCCCTGACATCCTTGGAGAGCTCTTTGGTCTTGGCCATGGTGGAGAATTTGGAATCTGATTGATTGATTGCTTCTGTGGACAAGTGTCTTTTATACAGGGAACAAGCTGAGATTAGGAGCACTCCCTTTAAGAGCGTGCTCCTAATCTCAGCTTGTTACCTGTATAAAAGGACACCTGGGAGCCAGAAATCTTTCTGATTGAGAGGGGGTCAAATACTTATTTCCCTCATTAAAATGCAAATCAATTTATAACATTTTTGACATGCATTTTTCTGGATTTCTTTGTTGTTATTCTGTCTCTCACTGTTCAAATAAACCTACCATTAAAATTATAGACTGATCATTTCTTTGTCAGTGGGCAAACGTACAAAATCAGCAGGGGATCAAATACTTTTTTCCCTCACTGTACATACATACATACATACACACACTTTTTATATTATAATTTTTTGCTCACAAAACTTGGGGCGCCAAATAAAAATCACTCGCGGGCCAAATCCGGCCTGTGGGCTGCCAGTTGGGGAACCCTGGTGTAGCGTAATTTCTGTATACAAGTTCACAAGTACAGTACAAGATTTCCAATTTTTACTGTCACGCTAAACCAGTCTACTTCGACACAAACCATGCTGTCAGCTAGAGTATCTACAGTACTAGGTAATGTGTGATACAAAATATAGTTATTTAAAGCTGAAATCCTTAATGGTGAAACAGCCACGTCCGTTTACAACAACAAAGAAATTACTTCAAACAACAAACACTGTTTTTTCCCCTCATATGTCATTGCACTCGCGATAGAAGAGCACATATTTTTTTCCCCCCAAGTTGCGCGACTTCTCCTCAGTTCGGGAACAAAAACAACGATGGTGGTGTGGCCGTGGCACTTTTTCTGCCTACTGCAGATTCCATTTTAAGGCAAATATGTCCAAGAAAGGCAGATACAATATATTGTAATATAGTCATGAAATTGTTCGGAACTCAATAAAATGTTCTGGAAAAACGAATTCAAATTATGTTCTTCAAAGGCTATACAAAAGGTACATTCCGTTTTGCAACATATCTTTTTTTTTTGCAGCGTCTCCCATGACAGCTGATCAGGGGCCGGAAAATTAACTGCGGCTAAAATACATTTTGTCCACTCAACTGAACTCCATCTCCTGTTGTATAATTCAGGAGTTTTGAATTTCAGAGTGTTAGTGGTTCAGGGACATTCACCCTTTGTCCCTCAGGGGAATCCCTCACCTCCCCATCAAGAAAGACTGCACTGGGTCATATTCATTAGACACCATACGGGAGAAAACTGACTGAAACAAGGAGGCACTACCCCAAACTTGTCCAATAAGGAGTGCTCGTTTTCATTTTAAGTTGCAAATCGTTTTGCTGCGGTGTGCCCTGATGAATACGACGCTGAACTCAAAAGGATTTAAATAACCCCTCATCATAAAGCAACTGATATTAAATCAAATACAGAAGTGTACAGTACATTGTTGTATTCTACCATCACTGATTCTATTGTCATGCTCTGTAGTCCCACAAAATTAAGAGCAATATCTGGAGTGTATATTTGATAATGTAGGCGAGATCATTCCATAGCTAGCAGTGCCACCAGATTGTAGTTCATCCTTCTGTTGTGCCAGCCACATTGATTTTCCCACACACAGTCTAGTTAGAGTGGAGAGATTATCAATGCAGCATCAATACCAGTGTTCATAACTGTTCTTCTCTCAAAGCAAAAATCAATGAATCCTCAACATCCAATGAGGATTTTCTCAGAGGTCTTTAAAATACAGCCGATACATTGGTTTGTCTTTCCACTCTGATCGCTGACCTTTCCACTTCCCTCGGGTCTGGAGGTCACTGTATGGCTGTGACAGTGTTTGAGTGCATCTGCTCAGTCACTGAACACAGACTGAGGAGGCAGACTGATCTACAAATCACCTTGCATCCTAAACGAATATTCACTATGATTGGTAGAACAGTCAGTCTGCAGCCGCCAACTGCAAGGTAGTCGATCTCAAACACGACCTGCTTGTGGTGCTCCACAGGGGTCATCAGAACAGCAACAGGATGAGTGGCAGCAGCAGGTTGTCTATCTGCGAGGTGTAGGCCTCCAGCATGGCCACCAGGGTGATGGAGCCCACGATCCACGAGTAGGTGGAGTTCAGGTTGATGGCGGGGTCGAAGATGAGGAAGATGGCCACAGCGATGATCTGAACGAACACCGATGTGGCCGTTCCCCCCACCGTCTTCTTGGTGCCCGGCCAGCGGATTTCGCCCATGCTGCTGCCGAATACCAACGCTACCGTGTCCCCCACGCCCACGGCCAGCACCCCGGAGTAGGGCACCAGGCTCCCCGCCCCAGGGAGGATGCCTTTGGGGGCACAGGGCCCTGGGAACAGCCATATGGGCAGGGACATGCCCAGGAGGAGGTAGATGTGGGTGAGGACGAGAAATCCAGAATCACATTCATCCAGGAACAGGGTGAGTAGCTGGTGGAGGAGTTGGCCCAACGGGCGGATGCGGAAGTAGCGCACATACTCCAAAAGCAGGAAGGCCCCGAGGCAGCCCACAGACGCCAAGTGGAGCAGCTGGCGGTCATACACCAGGCCGGGGACGAAGGTGGCCACTACGATCAGGTGGCAGTACTTTCTGACTACTGTAGAGGCCTGGTGCTTCCTGGAGCCCGACTGACGCTGGTAGTTCTGGTGCAGCACCACCAGGGTGGCCAGCGTGGCCAGCAGCACCTAATAGCCCAGCAGGCACAGACGCTTGTTGTTCAGAGTCACAAAGTCCAACAGCCACATGATGGGGTGGCGGCGGATAAGCAGGGAGAGCCATGGCATGAGGATCCCTAGGCCCAGCACGGCCATCATCATGTGGAAGAAGAGGGACGACACCCAGGTCTCAGACTCCATGAAGCAGATGAGCAGGGCGAAGAACACCCCTAAGAGAAGAGATCCTACCACCACCACAGGCAGAAAGTAGTGTACCGGTTCCACTTTGACCTCAGCCAGGTTGAGCGAGCGCTTGATGAGCTGGTTGACGATGAAGCTGATGCCACCCACGATGAGGAGGGCCTCGCCAGGTGTGAAGCAGCACCTCCAGCACCTCCGACACCGTCAGCGTCTGCTTCACCGTGTACATGATGGCGCTGCTCGACATGCCTGCGATCGCACATGTGTTGGTGGGCACGGGCCGAGTGATGCCCAGCGCGAGGAGCGACAGGAACAGCGCCAACATCATGCCCATCACAGTAACCACCATTGCGAAACGCTCAAAGTAGACGTTCCGAGGCGGCGCAATTCTCCCGCAGTGCCAAGCCCAGCAGCGGCATCACCATGACAGCCGGGACAATACCACTGTTAGCTGACGGGCGCCACTGGAAGACGGCGTTGCCATTACGGAGCAGGCGGTCCCACTTGTGCTGCATGTAGAAGGCCTGGATGACCAGGGCCACGCAGCACCAGGAGTGCTGGTTCCACACGGCCATGTGGACACACATCACCACAGAGAAGACCACCACAGACTCCACTAGTACAGGGTTGGTCTGCATGGCTGCAATAGGGGGAGAAGATAGGGAGGGAGGGAGTTTTACGGCAGAAGACTCCAGCTCTAATACAAATGAGCTCTAATACAAATGTCTTACTCAAGGGACTGTCAGTTCGTCTCCTGGGCACACATCGTGGTTAGTTATTTTAGTCCACAATCTATATCTGTCAAGACAAAATGGCAAAGGCAAAAAAAGATGGTGCAAAACTACCAAGACTTGACAGTAGTGTCAAGAAAATACATATTTTGGTATTTGATGAGTATCAAATGTTGAATATATTAGAAATATTAAACTCTGGATGTTTTACATTTACATTGTAGTTATTTAGCAGATGCTCTTATCCAGAGCGACTTACAGTTAAAGCATTTATCTTAAGATACAGTGCCTTGCAAAAGTATTCATCCCCCTTAGCGTTTTTCCTATTTTGTTGCATTACAACCTGTAATTTAAATGGATTTTTATTTGGATTTCATGTAATGAACATACACAAAATAACTTGTTTCAAAAAATTCACGGCACCATGAAGACCAAGGAGCTCTCCAAACAGGTCAGGGACAAAGTTGTGGAGAAGTACAGATCAGGGTTGGGTTATAAAGAAATATCTGAAACTTTGAACATCCCATGGAGCACCATTAAATCCATTATTAAAAAATTTTACGAATATGGCACCACAGCAAACCTGCCAAGAGAGGGCGTCCCACCAAAACTCACGGACCAGGCAAGGAGGGCATTAATCAGAGAGGCAACAAAGAGACCAAAGATAACCCTGAAGGAGCTGCAAAGCTCCACAGCGGAGATTGGAGTATCTGTCCATAGGACCACTTTAAGCCGTACACTCCACAGAGCTGGGCTTTATGTGGCCAGAAAAAAGCCATTACTTAAAGAAAGAAATAAGCAAACACGTTTGGTGTTCGCCAAAAGCCATGTGGGAGACTCCCCAAACATATGTAAGAAGGTACTCTGGTCAGATTAGACTAAAATTGAGCTTTTTGGCCATCAAGGAAAACACTATGTCTGGCGCAAACCCAACACCTCTCATCACCCCGAGAACACCATCCCCACAGTGAAGCATGGTGGTGACAGCATCATGCTGTGGGGATGTTTTTCATTGGCAGGGACTGGGAAACTGGTCAGAATTGAAGGAATGATGAATGGCGCTAAATACAGGGAAATTCTTGAGGGAAACCTGTTTCAGTCTTTCAGAGATTTGAGACTGGGACGGAGGTTCACCTTCCAGCAGGACTATGACCCTAAGCATACTGCTAAAGCAACACTTGAGTGGTTTAAGGGGAAACATTTAAATGTATTGGAATGGCCTAGTCAAAGCCCAGACCTCAATCCAATTGAGAATCTGTGGTTTGACTTAAAGATTGCTGTACACCAGCGGAACCCATCCAACTTGAAGGAGCTGGAGCAGTTCTGCCTTGAAGAATGGGCAAAAATCCCAGTGGCTAGATGTGCCAAGCTTATAGAGACTTATCGCAAGAGACTTGCAGCTGTAATTGCTGCAAAAGGTGGCTCAACAAAGTATTGACTTTGGGTGGGTGAATAGTTATGTTTTTTTGTCTTATTTCTTGTTTGTTTTACAATAAAAAATATTTTGCATCTTCAAAGTGGTAGGCATGTTGTGTAAATCAAATTATACAAACCCCCAAAAAATCAATTTCAATGCCAGGTTTTAAGGCAACAAAATAGGAAAAATGCCAAGGGGGTTGAATACTTTCACAAGCCACTGTAGCTAGGTGGGACAAGCACAAATCACAGTAAGTACATTTTTCCTCAATAAAGTAGCTATCAGCAAAGTCAGAGCTAGTAAGGGGGAAAAAAGTAAAGTGCCAGTGTTTAGTTCACAAAAGGCTTTTTAGGGGGGGTGGGTGAGGAGGTGCTGATGGGGAGTGTTGTGTGATTATTTAAGACACTCTTTGAAGAGGTAGGGTTTCAGACTTATTCCAATAGGTCCACTCCAGGGCCGTAGCCAGGGTCTGAAAAAAAAAATCGCAAAAAAGACCATGGCTACGGCCCTGGCACACCCACACTGACTGTTGAAATAGCACTGAACCTTGGTCCACTGACAAATGCACATGACCACACTGAACATTCACTCTCAATAACTGACATAGCTAACTAAAACAGATCATGCAAAAATGGGCTAATAAGTGCTATGGATGAATTATTTACTACAAATTGTACAAGACAGAGTAAAGTCTAGAGGGGGCGGGGGTTGAAATTAAATGATGGTAGCAAGCGTTCATTCAAGGCCATTCGAGATACATGAGAGCTCTTTGGCTTGATGCATAGGAAGGAACTGGTACAGATAGGTCTCACTGTAGTTAGAAATGTTTGAATGCAATTTCAACCGACCAAGGATGCGTCGACTCATGAGCATCCTAGCTAACATTAGCTAAAATTCAGCTGACAAATGTCTACTGAGTTCTCGTGCAGAAAGCCGGTATTCGACCATGAAATGGCTATTTCAAATGTAAAGCATCACAAATATACTGACCCGGTAAGTGTTGCACATATCAGGATAAATGAATAAAGTGATAACAATTTTCAATCTTTCAACTATTATATTCTCCCCAATCAGCTTGCGTTCCTCTCACCAGTAGGTGGTGACCATATTGACACTGACAGCCAAGTCACGTGGTACATTGAAACCTTGATATTTCTGAACGCACTATTTGCGATATCTTCTTATCATATATTGAATATAATATGAATAATAAATGTTGAGGTTTGGTATTGATATTTTCCAATAAACATAAAAACAAAATATACATCACGTGATGGGGGTGCATGTCGTAGACAAGTTACGTAAGGTGGCAGGGGAGAAGATGGCGGACTCGGAGATGTGTGTCAGGTAGCTAGCGAAATGAAATAACTTTTTATGTCTATTTTTTACCATTATAGCTTTCAAATTCATAAGTAAAGTTTGTTCAGATGCGCACTCATTTGGAAATGGTGCATGAATGTACACAGCAATGTGAAAGCGTCCCTTGTAGCAAGCTGCTAGTATTCTTGCTACATTTGAATGGCAGGATAGCGCGGTCTGGTACACACAGTTGCAAACGCATGACAACAGCAGCATGCATCAACAAGACGTGAACTTGCCAGCTAGTAAATGTACTACTGTCATTTGTCTGGGAATAAATTGACTTTCAGGCTTGTATTCGTAATAAAAAACATGTAGTTTATAATTTAGCAAGCTAACTCAACAGATGCTGATGTTGCAATACTGTCTGGTACAGCTAGCTAGCGTGGAACCCCGTATTATCCCATATTCAACAGCGTTTAAGAAATATATTACCTTCAAGTGTTATCTTGTGATCAAGCATCAATGTTTTGTGATTATTGGTGTCGTAAAAATGTTAGCTAACGGGTTAGCAATTAGCTTGTTTGACATTTCAGTGGAAATACTACTATTAACAGCTTTTTGATAAGCGGTTCAGCAAAATAATACGTCCCGTATTATTGTCATACGGTCCCCATTTATTGGCCACCTTACTATTTTGTTAAATCACAATATATCCGTTTAATTTTGTTAAAAAAGAGACACCAACCTCGTATCCGAAGTGTTGACTAGATAGTTGGCTAGCCTTTCGGTAAATTTATTTTTACCTGCCTGTCAACTTTTCATTGCGTAGCCCGGTGCGCCCTCTTGTGGACTCATAAAAAAATGTTTCTTCAACATATTCAGTGTTGCAACCAAATAATGTCTCATTATTTGTTTTACAGATTAATCTTATGTTTTGAGGAAGTAGATAACAATTTAATTCTAAAATGTAAATGTGTTTGAATAATTTACATCAAATAAAACTTTAATTTCAGTAATGTGCATTGACATAAACAATGAAAACGCTGTTGTAGTTTGTGTTGCAGAGATGCACTTGGAAAGTATAGGAAGAAATAAACAAGATGGGTTGAATAAATATATATATTATATTTTAGACATGTATTTTTTTGTACAAATAAATAATTTCATATGAAAACAAACAAATCAAACAATTAAATCTCGACCTCCATCCCTATATTGTCACAAAAATCCAGCTCCACCGCCACCTCTGGATCCCACTGCACACACCTGCAGTGGAACCAGTGCTGGCAGAAGTCACAGCACACCCATGGCACCTCGGATCTACACTCCTGAGGGGAGCTTGCAGGCGGATCACGCTCCCCGCAGCAAGCACAGCAGGTGGTGTCTTTTATAAATAAATAAAATAATAATCCAATTGATATACATGGTTTTGCAAAATGTAGAAGTTCTTCAACAACAATATGAAGTACCTGAGAGTGGTGCCATGGGTGGCGTGACAGACATGGGTGACGTGGGGGGGGGTGGGGGGTGCATCGTAGTGGTGGTGGACGAAACCGCCGATGATAACTTGGAGGAGCTGGTGTTTGTAATGGTAGGATTGAAGGGCCGACGATGGTGTGCCTTCTGCAGCTGGGGACTCCGGCGGCTCCTACGGGTGTTGCACACTGGGAGGCACTGGCAGTGGTGATGCAGCTGTCAGGGGTGGTTCCGGCGGGGGGCCCAGCATAGGCGATGGCGTCAATGGTCTCATCCATGGCAGCCCTCTCCTGTGCCCTCAGTGTTCTGAGGGCTGCCCGACGCTCTTTCTTCTTTGCCTCGGCCCTCTCCTTCTCACCCCGCTCCTGCCACTGGCGCGTGTATTCCTCCCCGGTGAGGCATGTGGCGACCACAGGGAGTCTTCTGTATCGGTCTAGCCGGTAGTGTGTAGTGGCCACCGGGGAAACACTTGGGTTAGATGAGAAACGGGGGGACGTCCTCCCCAGCTGCGTTGAAGCAGGCCAGCACTGTGATGTGCTCCTTAGTCCCCGGAGCCTGCTGGTACACGTGTTTTGCGCCCCGGGGAGCCAGCACTTTGTGCCTGCTCTGGTCGCTACGAAACCCAGACTCATCGCAGTTATAGATTTGTCTGGGTTTCTCCCTCAACCGGCCTCCTCATGCTCAGGTTCATGTGCCTCCTGAACATTTCCCA